AATAAATATAAAGTTTTACGATGCAAATCTGAGGAATGAAAAAATATTGACCGAGTGCTGCCCCAACAAACCGCACTGTTATCAAAACAGTGAGAAAAACAAACAATCCTATCGCAGTCCACGAAAAAAGAGCCAGAAATATTAAAAAAGAGAGCTGTGGAGCTTTATCTGCCGGCATTTTCGCTTTAGCTTTTGTGTAACTATATATTTTTTAGGAACTTTTGTTTAGATACTTTTCTATTTCTCTCTGTTTTGCATCTTTTAATACTCTTTCAGAAGGTATAAATATTTGATATACAAATATCAATTTAGAAAACATCATAATATTAGTTATTTTTTTAAATGAACTGACTTTCATGATTTGTTATAAAAGTTCTATATCCATAAATTGATTTATAAAATTTAAAATAATATACCTCTAAGGGTATGCAAACTTCGATTGGCATTAGTAAAATTCTTATCGTTTCCTTTATACATTTTATCTTTTCAGACATTTGAAAACCAAAGAGCATGTAAACAAAGCATCAACAGAAAAATTTCTTAAAAAGTTTCTACAGTGCCCAGTGACCTCAAACACCTAGAACAAGATATACGTATGTGCAGAAGTAAATCTTATATCTACATATGTACTTTGTGTACCTTTATCTAATTAGAGGCGCCTCTGTTGACAGAGAGTTCAAAAGAGCAGAAGGAAACGCAACATAAAAGAGAAAAGGTTAGGAAATCGAATCATGTTAAACATTTTCCATTAGCGGACTTTATCGATTTGTGTCTTTGCTAAAAGCTAAATGGATGGAATCAATCAGTTAGCAGGAATGTTTATCAATCAGATTAATATCTTGGCCATCCTACATTTGAACATGTGGTGAAATAAGGCATATATTTCTTGGTAATCATTAATGCCATTTCACACGATCTGTTTTTATAATGATGTAACAGAAAACTGGGTTCTAATTGGCCCAATAAAGTTTTGTAAGGAAATATTAATCTTTTGGGTTCTACCTAATTTTAGAAACATTTATCAAAATAAATTTTTATTTAAATATTTTTTTTGATTTACTGTTTGATATTATTTATAATTTTCTTCCATGTTTGACGAAAGACCTTCCGCTTCTTATTAAAACCGAGAACTCAGCGGCCACCGTCTCTGAAAAACATTCACGATCACTCGACACGCAAAGTTTCGTGATAGAGGCGTAGAGACAAACAAACGGCGCCATTAATAAATAAATCCGCCGCCCTTTCACTTGACTCCTCCATCATCCAAATCCCCAAGATATCCAACAGGCCAAAGCTGTTGATTGTTTTATGCCACCGAAGATCAAAAGACAAACGACAAGTGGGCGTTAGTGGTGCGGTTTCTTGGGTTGTTGATTTAAGGGATTTGATCCCTGAACTCACATGATAAAAAGACATAAAAATAACAAAAACTGTAAATTTGTATTTCTTGTTTAGCAAATCTGTATTCAAAAATGTTCAAAGTTGTCAGAAAGCAACAATTAAAAATTTTAGAAAATATAAAACATTCCTTAAGAATTCAAAAAAAATGGCATCGATAAAATTACAATGGCTATGGTTCCGAAAATCTCTTTCCTAAAAAATATTTGACCTAAATAAACAGACCCCTAAGAAAGACCATGAAATACAAATTTGATAAAACTGACAATGTACATGCTATCGCATAAGCTTTAAAAAGAATAACCCGTACTTGTGATAATCTAATCAAACGCTAATATACTTTTAAATAGAAATCCGGCTAATGTGGTTAGCAACTCCTTGAAAAACTTTGGGGGGATTTTTATATACCTATTTATTTTACTTTCTTCTAGACCAGCGGTCAAAGCGGTCAACAGAAATAAAGAAGAAAACAAAAAAAAATCCCATGAGTTATATATCAAAAATGTATACTCATGCAAAAACACATAAAAAAAAAAGACATTTAGCTGACTATAAAATATGCGAATGAGTGACTTATATAAAAGATTTGCGAATTGCAACCCCATCAAATAAACCGAAGAATCCTCTTGAAAACAAATTAAACAGAAATTAACTAAAAATAAATGCAGAACCAAAACAAAAAGCAAAACGAAACAAAACATAAATAAACCGACAAAAAAAAAACGCGAAACGAACCAAATTTGCACAAACCAGTTTTAGTCAGTTACAGAATTTTAGAGATTCATTATTCGGGGCACACTTTTCGCACATATTCCCAAGAAGCACGTGCTATAAGGCCACATTGAATCGGTGGGCGTGTGCCGCAATTTAGGGGTACCGACTAGATCATATCTATATATACCGCACATCTCCCGATCAGTGGAAATTTTTATTTCGAAAGATATTAAATACGGAGATTTTTGTTGTTGGAAAAACAGATTTCCAATCGCACAAGTGGATCATAAAAAATTCCTCTTGAATGAAAATTTATTTCCCCGCATTGCCAATACATAATTTGGCATTAAATAGCAAAACAAAATATTTTTTTCGACGTCAACGGCACGAAAAAAAAATTAGTGAAAATATTCTGTTTCCATTTGCTTGCGTAAGCAAAAATGTTGTTATTGCTAACAACAAATAAATTTAAAATTATAAGCCATAAAGATTCGAATTTTCGTTTGCTATTTTAATATTTTTTTGTTGTATAGTATCTGTTTTTGAGAATGAAATGGCACGTGGCCAGGATGACACAGAAAATTCCCCAAAAATATTTATATTTTAGTATTGGCTCAATTTTTATAGGTGAATACATATCTGAAAATTTTAATTATAGATATTTTTATTAAATTTAAGAACATGATTTGTTTAGTTGGGTTGAATAAAAAACTAGGGTTATTTATATTCTCAAAAATTTAAGATATTAAAGATATTAAAAAAAAGAAATTAGAACAAGAGAAATAATTTTGTCGCCTAAAATCTTAGCTACGAACAAAATTATGCTGGTCATAAATTTAATCTTCTCAAGATATCATCATATTTTAATCACATGATCAGCGGCTAATACGAATCCAAAAAAAAAACATTTATTAAAAATGATCAGGAAAATAAGCAACCGAAGAAAAATCAAACAAGCACGAGAGTGATGAAAAAAATGCATTTATTTTTAAACAAATTAATTGGCAGCTGGCCAAGAGCCATAAAAACGTGAATGTTTTTATTTGTTTGCTTTTCCCACAACGCGGACCAAAAAAAATATTCTACACTTTGGGGTTCATCATGATAATCCAATATTCAGTACTTATAGGTAGAATTTAAATATTGGTGCTGTGTATTTCGATAAATATTGTGATCAGCCCACGTCACACTTACAATTTTTAACAGTGTACAGATTTTGTTTCTACGTATTTGAATGGGATTTATCCATATGTACATAATGCCGTTGTGTACAAGACTCATGATTTTGTAAATCAAAATCAAGGCCAATGTCGAGCGAAGAGCGGGTGTGATGGTTGATGCCCTAATGGTTCGATGGATTTTATCGCCCGATTTCCTTCGGAATCAAAATTGCAGTTCGAGAGTGGCTAGCAAAGTTAAATATCAAAGGAAAACTAAAACGTAAATTACCTTAGTATATAAAAAGGGAGGTATAACCAATTTTTGCTAATTTTCTTTCCTAACCAATTGCAGCGTAAACAAATTATTTTGTAAATTGTAAAATGCAATTGCTTCTGATAGCCTATAGAAATGTATTGATTTTGCCATTTGTGTAATTGCTGATTTATTTGATATTCGAATTGGCAAATACTTCATCAATAATGTTTTGCCCCTTGTTATTTTGTAAACCCATTATCTAAAATGATTTGTTTTGGCTAAAACCACATTTTCCAAAAAATAAAGAACATGTATATTCCACAGAGCAAAATTGATGTAAAAATAAGAAGAAATTCTTCCACTCCAAAAAAAAGAATGATGCATAAAATCCAATTTTAATAAATCTTTTACTTGAGAATTATATTTGTGGACGCAAAACTTATTATAACGTTTGCCTTTTAGTTTTTCGTGCAGAACTTGAACATTAAATACAAATATAGCTGCAGTAGCGAATTTTGCACAAAATTGTTGCCTTAATTTGACAGGCAGTGGCCGTCGGGGTTTTCCCAAATAAATATAAATAAATTTATTTTTTTCATTTTAAGTCTGCTTGCTGTAATAGTCCCACAAAGTTCTATATGCAAAATATCCAGTTGGGGTGCTGAGATAATATATTGAAGCGGGTTTTTGCACTGTTCAATTTCGAACATATTAGCTTTGATTATTTTCAAATACCTATAATTAATTAATTTTGGTGTTTACTTGCTGTTCTCGCCCAACCATTTCGGCCTGTTTATTGACTAAAGTATTTTGTACGCAGCGAAATAAGAAGCAAATAAATACTCTTTCGCGAAATGCATAAATTAAAATTTCTCATGTGCCCTGGTTGGTCTGTAGATCATCTGATTTTCTTGTTTACGAGTGGGAGGCACGTGAAAACTAATTAAAAGTTAGGACCCCTTGAAGCGATTCTACTTTCGGGCCTTAAGATTTTCTTTTAATCGCTGTTTCGGAATTTGCTTTTGCACTGTATATTTATGTGATTTTTATTTGTAAAAATATATCTTGTTTATTTGACTTACTTATACTTTTCGCAGTAAAATAAAACAAAGAGAAGACAATATTAATGGGAGAGAAAAAGGAATTTATATGATCATTTTATTACTCTTGTTATAGGTATAAGTATGTATATTTTTATCTAAAATTTATTTATTACTGGCAAAAAATTTATATTTTATGTCCCTGATATTTGGTAATCAAAAAACCCCCTCCATTAAGTTGCCTTTTAAAAACTTTTATATACCAATCTTCTATATATACCATATTGTCGAATACATTTCTTTGCAAAATGTATTCCAAATTAATAATAAATTTTAAAAGAAATCAAAAGTTTTAGGACTTTTACAGACGTTTTTATGTTACATAGCATATGTCTACCCAGAAAAAAATTGTAAAATCCCCAAACCACTCACCAGTTTGCTTTGGTAGATTGTAAAAGTCGAGGGTTTTGATCTCGGACGTCTCGACATGCGGGGCGAACCCCTCGTACAGGTCGCTCTCCTCCACGATGCCGCTCAACTTGTCGGCCTGGGAAGAGGCATCTCCGCCCCGATGGTATGGCATCTTCTTAGCCAGCTTTGCGGTCGCTCCGGGTCCTCTGTCAAGTTTTGATTTGGGTTTGTCTCCACTCGAGACCGGGCTTCACTCCAGGCAGATGTTTTTTTTTTACAAAAATTTTTCCTTCGTTGTTTCCGTTTGACTAGATGGCCGTTTACTTTGCAGTGCTTTGCTTTCCGTCGTTTGGCAATCAATTTGCGAGCCTTTTTCGGTGTTCTACGTATCCGTAATATTATTATGATTATATTTATATTTAGTTTGATTTAATTAGTGGCCAACTTATGGAGACAGAAATACTCCAATACGATGATGCCGCGCGGAATTCATTATAGTAAACAATTTAGCACGAATACTGCAAAAGCATAGCTGTGTGTGATAACCAAATAGCAAGTGTCGGCGCTTCCAAGTCTGCAATGAGATTAAATTGTGGAAAGTTTGTTTATTATTTTCGTATATCTTTTGAATGGCCCAAACAAATAGCTCAGAATCAATCAACATCAATCGACAAGATAGCAAAAGCATATGGAACAAATCCTTCAAATCGAAATCGGTTCAATGACATGACCCATCCGAACTGTAGAGTAGATAATGCCAAAAGCGCCATTGGCCCATAAAATACTTGGCCCGCTCATTAATTGCGGGCCGGCTATAAAAAGCCAACTGGCCAGATTTATAATATATATAAAAAATCGCACGCATATATAAGACGTTTATTTTTTTTTTTGCTGCTGAGGGTGACTCTACCAAGAGCAGCCGGTTCCATATCTAATTAAACCCAGCAGAAATCGGAAAAAACAAAAATATCCAGCGCAAATATTTTACTCGGTCATAAACAAACGTTTGTACTTATATTATAAAAGTAATTGCTAAGCAATTTATTTAAAAGATCATAAATGTATCATGGATTTTTGTGGAACATTTATGGTATTTTGGTTAAATAAATCTTACAAACTAATACGATTTTAAGAAAAATGTATTAACCAATAAATATGTGTAACACCCTTTGAGTTGTTGGTAAATATCTCTAGCATATTTTCCTTAACCACTTTAAGTCAACAAACCCATTTAGCCTAATCAACCATGGCACACGCTGCGTATACTCGATATTCCTATGCTCCACCTCTCATCATCACGTTTGAAGAACTAAAGACCGGCTATTTATCTAAAGTGCTTTTCTCCCCACCAATTTCCCCCGAAAATTACACGCATATTTCGTTCTGTTTTCGTCACAATTCGCAATGTCCGATGAGCTTCAAAGCAAACTAAAATCTAAAATTGAATTGCAAATTTCTAACGAAATTCCGGACACGTATCGAAAGCCAAACACTTCTTGGGTTGTTTTATTTTCCATTTTCCTTTGACACTCTTAATGATTTCGCCTGTCAAGAACAGCATTTGAGGGGGCTTTGTGGGGGACTAAGAGGGTCTGACATCGGATAGAAATATAGAGAGACAGACAGGTCTGATAGATCGCTGCGTTTGCTTGATTGGCTGTCCGATAGAAGGTGTCGGACTTTTTACCTGGTCAGCGATGCAGGGGGAGGGGGGGTACCAGGTGCCGTCAAGCGGATTTGTGGCCAAGACAAGTTGTATCTATGGCAGCTTCAAAGCGAACTCAGATAAGAAAAGTTGGTCTGAAGTGCGTTATAATTAATATAATATGAGAGGAAGCAGAGATAGCAATTTACAAAATATACCATTATACTTATATTCCTTATCTGTAAGATATCACTCAAATGGGGTTTATATGTTAGAAAGAAATTAATAACAAGCAAATAATAGAACTTTGAAATATTATTATTTTTACCACACTTCTATAGGCATAATATCCCAATAATAAAAAGTATATAATAGTTCTTTAAAATATTATTTGAACCCCATTTTTGATATGCATAATATCCCACCTATAAATCGGTCTGCCTCTACTTTTTTCCATATTACTTAACAACGCCGACGAAAAGCCTTTCCTTGAATAATTTACACTTGCCAGCGCTTGGATTCGTATAGTAAGCCTCCAGGTGAGAGCCCCGCCCTTCCCCAGAACAAATATCGGGGCACTTAAGCCTCGTTAATTGAGCGAACAGTTCGATTTTATACCACTCCACTTCGCTCGGCTCAACTCGACTCGATTCGCTTCGATTTGATTGGTAATGTGCAGTTTTCATATGTATGTCAATATTATGCTACGTCTAGTATTTTCAAGGTGCCTCGGGTTACGTCGTCAGCAACACGGCTTTAGACAAACAGCGGCAACAGGTATCGCTTGGACATGCATATAGAGTTATTAACAATCGTTTACACAGTAGTTGAGCTGCTTGTTTGTTTGTTGTTTGCTGCCTCCGGACTTGAGAACATTATCTAAATATTATAATGCACCCAATTTGCGCTAATGAAATCAAACGGAGCGCCACTCAATTGAGTTCACTTAGACATTTTACAATGACTAACTCAACTAAACTCAACTAATCCTCGAGAAACATAAATGTTTCGGCATCAAATGGAATAAACCAGCAGCTAATTAAAACGTTTATGCTAATGAGGCGACACGCTGTCATGTTGGTGTCACGAGATGTCAGCCAAAAAGCTGGGAAAATCGGTGGAAAAATGATGCTGACATGGCGGAGGTTGAATAAGCCAAAATCTAACTAAGTTTTCACCGCTAACGTACTTTACAAAAATTAGATATTTTAATAAAAATATAAATATTAATATAGAGTTCTTTCACATCTCGATTTGTCTTTATATTTGTACAACCTAAATAATAGTCTTTTAAAAAATAATCATTGAAAAATCGATAGAAGGGAGCAATTCGATCGTTTATGATGATTCGTCATTTGATTCGTGATTCATTTTCTAATTTAGTTTTATTTTGTACTCCATTTCATGACTCATAAAGTTTATATGAATACCAATAACCTGGGAATACCACTTTGGGATACAGTCTTTTCTTTCTTAAATTCTATGAACCCACTAGACATGATTTTATGTCTATTTCTATTTTCTACTTCCAATATGACTTATTCTTTTAATCTATCTTGACGGTAGCCTCTAGCAAGTATTAGCCATAAAACCGAAACCAAAACAAGTCAATTAGAGCCCAAAAATAGATGAAAAATTCGTTAGCAATCAGCTAAGCATGCACTTAAAGCAGGTGCTAGGCATTTTTGTGCTAATCATTGGCTACAGTGGGTTAATCGCCGATTGTCAGACCCGCCCCAAGGCCCAAGTAATGCCGCAACAATTATGTGGGCTTGTGGGTGGTTAACGTGACGCAAGTGCAACAATCGGTGGGTCAAGTCGAGACTCGATTCGATTCGATCCGACTCTCGACACGTATTTCTCGGTGCAATTTACGTCAGTTAGCGAAGAGGAAAAACTTTTGAGGTTTCCAAGTAATTTTCCGCTACGCCAAAGTTCACCGAAGTTATTAGCTTCGAAGCAGTTTGTTTTTTTTTCGGATGACGAATTGAAAAACAAAAGCTAATCCATGCTTGATAAGCATGGGTATCTTGATAGATTGGCCAAGAGTAATGTGAGTAAAATCGGGTATTCCTTGAAGAGGGCGAAAGAGATAAAGAATATGGGTAGATGTAATACCAATTATACAACTATAACATCCGTATAAATTAGAGCAACATATGAATAACGAGGTGTTATATTCATTTAAATATGATATATGTATGTATTATTATTAAAAACCATAAGCAAATGTTGCATAAAAATGTATATTTCCTAATTTTATTATTCGCAAAATAATATTAGCTGTATATATAGTACTGATGAAAGTAGAGTAGTTACAATTTGCTATAACATACATTGTCAGGAAGCCATTTATTTCTATTTAATTACCATCCAAATAAGTGACATTTTCAAAATAACTAGGCCACCTGGTTGGGGCTCAAGGCAAGTCAACTAAAGGTAAGAACCTCCCACACCCACTTGAGGGAAATTTGCATACGACATGAAAGGGGGCGTTTTCGATGGTAGGCGTACTTTTAAACCGCACCTAAGGAACCTTTGGTAGCAATGCTAAAACGTTTTCTAACTAGGCCAAGCTGCTGTCAGTATTCTACACGAAAAATCCTCGAATGCCTTGAGAGTGCATTGACTTGGGCAAGGGCCTTTCGGCACACCCCTGACCACCCTCTGGAAAAACCTCAAAATGCTTACCAACCCCATTTCCCACGAATGAAAATAGTGTCAATTTTAGCTGAAAACGGCGAAAAGCGTTAACTTTAAACCAGCCGAAAATGATATACTCTTTTATATTTACTATACTATGTAAGGCACTATGTAGTGCCTATCATGAAATGATTGATATGATAATGAAATGATGTTGTCTTAAAAAGTTTAATTTAAGATAGGTTCCAAAAAAAAGTTATAAAGGTATATATTATAATAGAATAATAACCATATTATAGTACCCAGAGTTAAAGAGCATACCAAAAAGGAAAACGTCATAAAGGAAGAGATGGCAAAGGGAATAGGGCCAGAGAGTCGAAATGGAAAGCGAAATTATGCCATCGCTCGGTTCAGTAAGTCCTTAAAGTACTGAAAATGTGGGACAACGCAAAGCTCATTGTGTGGGTGTGTGCGTGTCCTTATATATGTATTGGTGTATTACTTTATTTTATTTATTCGTGTGTGGGTGTGACAGGACACTTTGCGTCAGCAGCAGCAGCAACAGACCGAAAAATAACAACAATGGCAGAATTGCGTAGTGGCAACTTGAACTGGGTAACTGGGTGTGTTCCAAGCTTATCGAGGGGGTGCTGAGAATCGGAGAAGAGAGGGTCGACTTATGGGGTGGAGAGAGATCCGAGGGCGGGTCCTGAAATCAATGAATGAAAGAACCAGCACACGCATGAGCAAGCGAAAGGAAGATAGGAGGTCCGGACAATGGAAAAGCCAGGACCTGCAAATAGATATCCTAATATAGTTAGCAAAGTCTTGTAATCTAATCTTGAGAAAATATTGAAATTTTTAAAACTTGGAAGGCTACTCAAAGACGCAAAGCCAGGGGTGGTGGCGACGCAAATTTAATAAAGCCAAGTAATGGAAAAAATAATTTTATTATTATTGTTCCAGTATCCTAAAAAGTTTTCAAACAAAGTTAAAACCAAATTGACATCATCAAAGGTAACATAAATATAAAATTCATTTTATATACAATAAAAGTAAGATTTTCAATCTGTTTTGTCAAAATTTTAATGGAAATGTATCTCTTCTAAGCCAAATAAATTAGGGTAATAGTCCGTCTATGAGTCTCGCCACTATCCCCTGTTGACGCAAGTGCAACCAATTTGATTCCCCAGTGTAATCGAATCAATTTAAGCTTATTTAGGGCCAACAGACGGTTAGGGAGCAGAGGGCAAGCAAAGGACAAATGACGGAGCCGGAAAGCCGGG